TAACAACGGGACGGGAGAGAAGAAAACAGCCACTGCGATGGTCAAGGAAGTCAGATCGCATCCGTAGTGGGGCACACCACGCAGGGGGTGAAGAGGCTGCGTGCACGGAGCATGAGACGCAGGCGTACAAGAGCCAAAGTCACACGTCCGTGGGAGCGGATGACCTGCCGAGGTACGGTGGGTTAGTGGACATCCAAAATAACAGATGGGCTGCGATCAAAATATAGTGCTAGATGAGAAGTGAGAAAGGAGCAATAAAACCACACAGATCCTTAAATGTACAAATTGAAGATCCTCTGATAAAACTCCAGAATGATTGCGTGCTTACGTGAAAGTGGATCGATGGGGTTTTCATACCCTTTAGTTCCTTACCTGAGAGACCAGGGGAAGATCTGGCACAATAGCAGGGGAAGAGGCAGCCCCACCTTCTCATACAAAGGATTCTGCAATTGCATGGAGGGAAAAAAAATCGCAGTCCCCAGACAAAGCAGTTTTAAACTGAAGTCTGCTGTTAAGTCCAGTCTCCATCAGCAAGAGGCATGACTAGTCCTGATAGTCACGACCAGGACTGCCCGCATCAAACTGCGAGGTGCTGGGTCACGGCAAGGGCGAGGTGACCTCCTCTAGTCCTTTCCAGCTCTGTCTTTGTGATGGTGAATGTTTTCTTGATCTGCGATGCTGTCTGGCCATGCTGAGAAGCATCAGAGAGCAACTAACAGTGAGGAAATGTCTCATGAGAGACTGCCCGGAGTGGGAAGCAATCAGATCTGCACCAGAGGAGTGGAGCATCCTGTGAAACGCCATGAACATCACAGGCAACTGTTTTGAGCAATTTTAATGATTTAGTGCAGGACCGTGACCCAGGGAAAGCTCTTCTGAGTAGCTGGGGGACTTCAGCTCGCTCTTTGTGTTGTGTTCTTCATGTGACATTGTTGGTTGCAAAAATAAATAGAGAGAGGCAATTTTTCCCCCTGCCAAAGAGCAGAGGGAGGAATTCTGGGCGAGCAGAGGTAACGCTGCCTCCAAGGCATGCCTGACCAGCCCGTTCCCACAGGATCTGGGGTCGATGCCTTAGAAAAGGGTAGTTTAATCCCCCATGCCCAAGTTTTCCACAGTCCTTAGGGAGGGATTAGCTGTACTAGTTCATTTTTGTGGCATTTTTGGTGAGTTTTGCATCTGCCAAACCATCAGCCAATGTAAAATAATGAAATCTTAACTGGACTGTGTTACAAAGGCTTTGTAGTAAGTTTTACTGGGAAGCTGGCTCCATAAGTGTTACAAGATAAAAGTGCTGGTATCAGTGTGCCCTCCAATACCCAGAGTCCCTGTTACTCATAACAGGGTCATGTCCTCTGACATGTCTTAATTATGTGGAAATTCCTCTGCCACCCTTCAAATATTTATCTCTTGTGTGCAGGCGAGTTGTGCTTTCTCAGTATTAATACAGATCCGTGGCTGAGCCTCTGGCCAGATGCTCACCTCAGATTGCAGGGGAGGTGCTCCGAAATTAGTGTTGGTATTTTGGAGATTAAAAGTCAGCTGAGGCAGAAGAGTGATAGTCTCAGGTGAGGTTTTACGCAAGGTGGAGGCATCTTTTCCACTCACAGAAGGAATACCATTAATTCCAGTGAGATCTTTAACTCCTATCAAGCAGGATGCTCTTTCCAGTCTGACCCATGATACCGTTAATAACCATCCAAGGGTTTCCACTTTATCTAAGGAAATGCATAATCAGAGGGGAGGAGAAGTTAAAGAAACCCGTGCCTACACTTGACTCATACAAAGTCTATTTTTATCGTATTCAATCAGGAACAATCAGGCTCAGAGAGGAGACGCAGATGAATTTGCATGATCAGACTTCTGTGTCTTAAATGTTAATTAAAAGTTATTTTAAATTTGCCTACTGTGCAGAACTTGTTTTTATAGTAGCCCGTGTAAGGGAAATATTATTTCACAGGGCTGAAGTGTTCATGATTAGTTGAGCTTGTGGATTCTTGGGAAAACCTGCCTGGCAATCAACCTCGAATTTAAAAAAAAAAAAAAAAGGCAAAAGAGAATCTGGGCTATTCAAGTTCTTTAAGCTCCTGAGCCTTAGGAGGTCTTATTTAAAGCTACTTTAATATTTGCCCTTTGGCACCGCTTTGAGAATCTCCTCTTCCATGGCTGAATCTGGTGGAGCATGTTTTAAAGAGGCAGCTAGCTCTAGGACCACATCCCCTTCTCCCCCACGCTGCCTCGCTGGCTAATCTCAGTGCTAACTGCCGTTAGGAGCAGCTCTAAAGGCTTAG